TGGCAGCACCTGTTGGCGCTGACTGGCCCCTGTTGAACGCGGCGTCGGTTGCCCATGGTGGCGTCTTGGGCATCGATCTGTGATGGGCGTCGAGTAGTGCACGACCGGCGGAGACACGAAGTAGAACCTGCGCCGCTGCTCTCTGCGAGCGTGCCCGCCGATGCCAGGTGGGCTCTGGACCTCGGTCTGAACGCGGCGTCTGGCCCAGCCGCCCGCCCAGCCACCTGGCGGGGGTGGGGCCGCACAGGCGAGGCGACTCAGGGCACGGTCGTCCAACCACGCGCGATGGCGGCCGGTCGGACACGTGTGGCAGCTGTCCTGGGAAGGCTCGCAGGGACTGGCCCTGCCTCCAAAGCCTGAGCCGGGACGGCGGCTGGAAGGAGGGGAGGGAAGAGGGGGGGAGAGGGAGAAAGGAGGAGGGAGCAGGGACACGCCTGGAGGGAGGAAGGAGGAGCGGGGAAGGGAGAATGGCGGAAGGAGGGAAGGGAGCAAGGGAGAGGTGAGGAAAGAAGGAGGGAGGAAGGGAAGAGAAAGGAAGGGCTGGAAGAAAGAAGGATGGAAAGTGAGAAGCGGCTCTGGCAACATTTGGATCCTGGACGACTGGCCCTTTTTGCGCAGAGCGAGTGTCGCATGATCCACGCAGGCAGGACTAAAAAACAGGCAAGAGACATGGAGGTTACAGATAAGAGAAGAAGACTGAGAAGAAGGGGGAGAGTAAAGGAAGCGGGAACCAGACTCCGGGAACGACGCAACAATGAAACTCTGCACTGTGCAGAAGGGCCACCCACGCATGAGTTGAAGGACCCCGAAAGTACCCGGGGGTGCCTGGCGTGCACACAGGCCCGACCCGGAGACTCGCTCCTTCTACAGCTCACGTGCAATAATCCGTCGCACCCCCACACTGGGGGAAGGGAGGGCCGCCCTCAGAGCTGGAAGCGCGTCGGCCGGCCCCGGGATCAAGCGCGCCTCGCGCCTCTGCCCGCTGGGTCGTCTTCGAGGGAGTTCGTCTTGAACGAGAGCGTGCTGGACAGATAATCGATTCAAATTCGCAACGGCGCGACGACCCCCTGAACAAACCGAACATATGGCCCCCGGTCGCAGTGAAAAACTCGCCTAGAGGATGGCACAAGAGGAACCCGAGGCGCGCGCGATGCCCATGCAAATCGCATTCGTCTTGCTGGGAGCCTATGTGTGGACCCACCCCTACGAACCTAAAAAGAACTCTGGGAACACATGTAAAGCTACGGTACACGTATACATGTTTTCTTTTGTCCTGGGGCTGCCTGTTCGGTCCGGGGTCCGTGTGGGCGCTAGTGCGCCCTCCCAGGCCCTTCCAAGGCCTCCCGACGTTTCCCAATTCTTTCCTCTGCCCTCTCTTCTCCATCCTCGCCCGGTGCCGCGCTCGTCCGCCGCCATACTGGATCAGGTCTTGAGTCGCATCGGCTTGGAAAGGTCTCCCGGGCGCGGCCGCGCCGCCCTCAAAGAGGTAGGTCCCTGCGGGACCTGGCCTACCGAAGGCCAACACCATCAAGCAGGAGGGCTCCCAGGAGCCCTGGATCTACCAGAAGGTCCCAGGGAGCCCAACGTTGCCTCGCTGAAGGCCATCCCCGTCCACTACCCTTCCCCTAGCACTCCCCCCCGGTCAAAGCACCTTGGAGGCATTCGAGTAACATGATGAAAAACATTGGGAGGCCCACGGATGCGTACGAAAATTTCTTGGCACCCCCTGGAGTCCATTGGAGCTCCATCAAGGCACCATGCAGGCAGGTGAAAATTCTAGATTCGATTGATATCCTTGCCTCCACATCAACGCACCGCTTGAGATAACGATCGTGACCATGACGATGGACAAGGCGACCACCCTTATGCATTGACCACCCACTTGGCTTGCCAGGCATTGCACGCCGCCTGGCTGTCCGTCCGTCCGTCTGTCTGTCTGTCTTCCCGGCTCTCTGAGCCGCGGCGCTTTGAGCTTCTTAGCTCAGGGACGCGTCGGCCACCGCCGCCCTCTCCCTTGTCGGTGGCCCTGACGAGGTTGGGGGAGAGGGTGCCGAAACGCGCCCAGAGTCCAGCAAGGCATGAGGGTGCAAACCCGACTTGTGTGGCTGATGCTCTGGGGGGACCTGTGCTCAGGGGAGGCTGCATGCACCGCTCAACGATGTGCTGTTTAACCGAACCTGCAGGGTGGGCCCTTTCCCAAATCCGTGCTTCGGTGCGGATCGTAAGCGCGCCTCGTCTCCGTCGTCGTCGTCGTCGGCGTCGTCGTGGTCGTGGTGCGTGTTGCTCTGCTCGGGATTCTGTTTCCCTTATGCAGTGACCACCCACTTGGTTTGCCAGGCATTGCACGCCGCCTGGCTGTCCGTCCGTCCGTCTGTCTGTCTGTCTTCCCGGCTCTCTGAGCCGCGGCGCTTTGAGCTTCTTAGCTCGGGGACGCGTCGGCCACCGCCGCCCTCTCCCTTGTCGGTGGCCCTGACGAGGTTGGGGGAGAGGGTGCCGAAACGCGCCCAGAGTCCAGCAAGGCATGAGGGTGCAAACCCGACTTGTCTGGCTGATGCTCTGGGGGGGCCTGTGCTCAGGGGAGGCTGCAGCACCGCTCAACGATGTGCTGTTTAACCGAACCTGCAGGGTGGGCCCTTTCCCAAATCCGTGCTTCGGTGCGGATCGTAAGCGCGCCTCGTCTCCGTCGTCGTCGTCGTCGGCGTCGTCGTGGTCGTGGTGCGTGTTGCTCTGCTCGGGATTCTGTTTCCCTTATGCAGTGACCACCCACTTGGCTTGCCAGGCATTGCACGCCGCCTGGCTGTCCGTCCGTCCGTCTGTCTGTCTGTCTTCCCGGCTCTCTGAGCCGCGGCGCTTTGAGCTTCTTAGCTCGGGGACGCGTCGGCCACCGCCGCCCTCTCCCTTGTCGGTGGCCCTGACGAGGTTGGGGGAGAGGGTGCCGAAACGCGCCCAGAGTCCAGCAAGGCATGAGGGTGCAAACCCGACTTGTCTGGCTGATGCTCTGGGGGGACCTGTGCTCAGGGGAGTCTGCAGCACCGCTCAACGATGTGCTGTTTGACCGAACCTGCAGGGTGGGCCCTTTCCCAAATCCGTGCTTCGGTGCGGATCGTAAGCGCGCCTCGTCTCCGTCGTCGTCGTCGGCGTCGTCGTGGTCGTGGTGCGTGTTGCTCTGCTCGGGATTATGTTTCCCTCATGCAGTGACCACCCACCACCACCCACCACCTGCTGAAATGTAGTAGAGGTGACAAGAGCAGGTACCAGGAGGAGACAGAGGAAGATGTGGGGTCGATGTAAGGCCGTTGAGGAGATGAGGTCTGGACGCCACAAGGGAATAAAAATCGAAGGTGGCAATTGTGACAAGTTACTGGCACGGATAGAACTAACACTTTGCGCGACCCCGGACTTGGAGTGGTTTACTAATGATCCTGTCCCCAGTCCTTTCAGTCCCCACGATCCCTGGTGGACGGGTTTTTACCCTGCCCCTACTCCCACGCAAAGAATTAAGAGCTTATTGTTCGCTTCGGACGCCGAAGACGTCGCCAAATTTCGAATGGCCGTCTGCTCAGACTAGACACGTGGCTAGACAACATGCGCATCCGCGCTTGGTAGAGGAGCCGTGACTCCAATGCTGCAATTCCCCGCCTGCCCAGGCTGCAGCGGCCACAGTGACGCGCCTCTTTTGCCCCTTCCTTTCCTAAGACGCGATATACACTGCCGAGACGCCTCCTTCGGTGAACCCAGGGTCCTCGCCCCTTTGCATCCCCTTTTGACAAACTTAACGGGCATGTCGGTATATCGCCCAGTGAACGCCCTCACGTGCACTGCCGCACCTAGCGCACCCTGTGCGCGCCGCGCACCAGGCGCGCTCGGAGCACGTGAGGCACTTGTCGCACGTGGCTCACGCGGCGCACCAGGCGCGCCTGGCTAGCCTGAGGCACCTTGAGCGCCCAGCGCGGGTTGCGCACCTGTCACGCGTAGCGAACCTTGCGAGCGTGGGGTACTTAGCGAGTTCCAGCGCAGAAATAGTTGTTACTGTTGATCGAGTGGCGACCGCTGCCTATGCTGAGACTCGGGTGCTATTTGTGTGGCGGGAGGGCTGTCGGCAATGAGCGGAACAACCTGCGGAGATTTCGTTGGGAAATTGACCGCCGCTCCTTCTGAAACAACAACTCCCTCCCCTACTCGAGCAGCCGCAAACCAGGCACCATGAGCCCTCCCCTCTCCGTGCCAAAGACAAGTACACAATGCACATTGCGACAAAATCTAGATCATGAGCAGGCACCCCGCGACACCTTTACATTAGTGTTCGTACAATGTCTGGCGAGTGCGGACCCGCTGTTACTGTCCAAACACCGTAAAATTGCGGCTGGCGCACACCTTACATCATGCCGGCCGCCCCGCCATCACTTTGCATTGGTTTCTGATCAAGGATGGTCGGGTGCCGGCATGATGTCCAATGTTTGCTGTCGCGTGCACTACCGCACCTAGCGTACTCGGCACGCGTCGCACACCTGGAGCACGTGGCACACCTGGCGCACGTGGCGCGCCTGCCGCACTTGGCTCGCCTGGCGCATTGGCGCGCCTGGTGCAAATGGCACACCAAGCGCAACTGGCGAATTTGGCACGCGCAATGCGACTGCGCGCCTGGCGCACCTGCCTCGCTCGGCGTGCGAAAACATCTTCCGCACCTCGAGCACCTGAGGCACCCGGCGCGCCTGTCGTACATGGCGTACCTGGCGCACCTGGGGCACGTGGCACAGATGGCGCGCACGGCACACGCGGCGCACTTGGCGACCGATGCCCGTGCCGTGTCCCGGATGCTGCTCATGTGTTGGGAGGGCGGGTGGGAGTGAGCGAGGTAGGTTCTGATTTCCGTTTGGGAGCTTTCTTGACCCGCAGATTATCCGTCCAGACATGCCATCGCCCAGCGCTGCCAATGCGTACGCATTCGAGGTGCACCGACCAGCACTACAACCACAAGATGCTGCGCGGCTTGGCACACCTCATCCAGAACCTGATTCATAATGGTGCAATCGGTAGAGCAACACTTTACCTTTCTCATTTCCAATAGAAAGTAATCCACCCCTACGCGAGAGGTCCATGGCTGACACCTTCTGCAGCGGCGATTTGAAAGTGGGCCAATTTCTAAAAACAGTTGCAGTACCTGTGTGAACCAACTTCAATGCATTCTGGTTGAACTTGGAAGCAGCCACAAGCAGCTCGCCTTCTGTATGAAACTGCAATCCTGTCACAGCGGTTGTCAGGTTCTGAATGCTGTTGACTGGCTTCTCAGATATTTTTGGCCCCGAGAGGTCGAATAAATCGACGTAGCCTGACGCAGTCCCAACGGCCAGGATGGAAGTTGGCGAGAAGCTGGAAGTCCGACGCACTGTCAAACAAGTCACCTTCGAGGTTGCAGAAATTCGCTGCTTGCAGCGACCACTGCCAAGGTGCCATTCGTAGATGTTGCACTCCTCGTCAGCTGTGAACAGCGTGTCGCTCTCTGGACAAAACGCCGATGCAACGCCCGGGGCCCTCATCCGCAGTGTCCGCACAACGTTCTTGGTGGCAATGTCGCAAAGCAAGGCGACGGCTGGATCTCCGAGGACCGCGTACATCTGCGAGGATCGAAGCCCGGGAGAATCTGTGGGGTTCGGGCCAACTGCGAGGCCGAAATACCTGCTCTGCGCCTGCCCGTTGAAGGGGCGCACGTGGAAGGGCTCGCCGGTACGAACGTCCAAGCCGCAGATCTTAGGCCGAGAGCTGGTCGCCAAAATTTGGTCTCCAGTAGGTGTGAACAGCGCTCGCGTTATCGGAAAATTCTTGAAAAAAGCAGCTGGCCCCTGCTCGGCAGAGGCTGCGTCGCGTTTGAGGTTGTGACCGTGCATGACACGTCAGACCTCTGCATGCCCAGCCTACGCGAGAAATCGACAATGAAGAACTCACACAAAAAAACAACACGAAATAACACGTGAGGCCGCCCAACGCATCGAGGCCAAGATTCATCTGGTTTGGGCTCAAGTCCGTATACGTTTGGCCTTCCGAGGAGAACATCATACAAAAAGCGAAGTGCACCCCGCCTGCGCCCCTACCTAGTCCCCCCACAGCGCCCTCCACCACAGCGCTGTAGCGGATAAGCGCGGCAGCGCGAGAGAATCTCCTCGCTTTCTCCTCCCTTCTTCCTTCTCCATCCCATCGTCCTAACTCCCCTCAACCCCTATTCCTGAGGCAGACATACATACATACATACATACATGCATGCATGCATGCATGCATGCATACATACATACATACATGCGTACGTACACGCATGCATGCACACATGCAAACATAACTACAATACGTGCATCCTTACATGGATACATACATACACACAACAATACCATACAATACAATACAACACAACACAATACAACACAATACAACACAATAAACTACAATACAATACAATACATACATGCCTACGTACATGCACGCATACATACATGCGTACGTGGGTACATACATATATGCATGCGTCGCGCATACGTAGATATATACCTACCTACCTACCTACCTACCTACCTACCTACCTACCTACCTACATACATACATACATACATACATACATACATACACACATACACACATACACACATACATACATGCATACATACATGTATGCATGTATGCATGCATGCAGACATGCATGCATACGTACGTACGTACACACATACATACGTACATACACACACACGTACACACGTACATACATACATGCATGCATGCATAGCACAAACAAGCAAACACGCAATCATACATACATACATACAGACAGACAGACAGACAGACAGACATGCATATGTATATACATATACATGCATACATGTATACACTCTCTCAAGCGGAACTCGTCGGCTCGCCCTCGTGACGAACGATTGCCTGCGCCAGTTGTGTTCTCTGACTGGGGTCTGCAGTGCAGCGAAGCTTTGATGATATGAAGATACCTTGGGATTCTCGTCGCCATCCACTGCAAAAAGCCGTATCTTCTTGTCGAGACCAGCGGCTAGCAGCAGCTCCGAATTAGGATGGAAATTCAAGGCCTGAACGACTGCTGGCCCTTTGCTGGCTGCGGGGTCGGTCCCACAATCCTTGAGGCGAGTAATGCTAATTTCTGTCGGCTTGAGAGAACCCCCAATGCCTGTAGCTACTACTTTTCCACTCGATGGTATGACCATCTCGTCATCCTCCTCGGAAGAGTCGCTGTCAACACCCTTCGTCGGTTGCTCCACCCAGTGCGCTGTCCCGTGCAGCTTCACAAACTGATCTCGAAGTCGCTGGAAGCCGCCTCTTATTCGAGCAGATCCTGCTAGGTTATACGACGACTGCAGTTCGTTCTCGGCAGCAAGCCCCCTCTCTGTGACCCAACTACGTGAACATACTGAGTACACAAACTTTTGGACACCTTGGACAGGGCCCCCCTTCTTCTCAAAGTGGTTTGGAATGCGTCCCCGGGACCTCCCGCGCCGCACTCCAGATTCCTATTCCTCCCGCTCCCCCACCATCCGAATCAATACCTTACGTTGTTTCCCAACCATCATGTGGTGTTGGGTCTTCGCTTCGAAGAGAGCGCTCCGCGTCTCCCCTCTCCTCTCCTCCTCCCCCTCTTCCCTCCTCCCATCCCTGCCCCTGGCCTCCGAACGCACGGTTCGGCACACCCCTCATACGGTTCGTAGCCCCATGGGGCACTTCTCCGAGGGTTCAAGCAGAAAGTCCGCATGGCGGCACCGCCCAATTTAGGCGCACCCCGTTTCGCGGCCCCACAGGGAGCTCCGCCGAAAGCTCCGGTGCCAGTCCGCATGGCGGCACCGCCCCTTTCGTCGCACCCGTCACACGTTTCGTGGCCCCGTAAGGAGCTCCGCCGAATGCCCCAGTGCCAAAGTCCACATGGCGGCACCGCCCCAATTCGGCGCACCTTTCTCGCGCTTCGTGACCCAAGGGGAAAAAGGCCAAGTCCTCAGGTCCGCATCGCGGCCGCGATCAATTTCGGAACACCCCTCGCACGCTTCAGGCCCCGTAAGGAGTTCCACCGCAATCCTAGCGGCAAAGTCCGCATGGTGGCCCCGACCCATTTCAGCGCACCCCTCGCACGTGCCGTGGCCCCATAGGGAGTTCAACTGCAGGCCCCAGCGGCACTGTCCGCACGCTGCCACCTCGCCAGTTTGACACACCCCTCACACGAATCGTTCCCATCTTTCGTATCACTTGCATTGCGGTAAATCGCAGCTGGCATGCAGTTGGGCCCTTCGGCATGGCAATTCCTCTTTCACCTCCTTCTGCATTTCCTCCTCATCCACCTCCTCTTCCTCCTTTTCCCTCCTCCACCTCGCACCTCGTTGGGAACGAAAGCTATAACGACGGCTCCCCGAGGCAATTTGCAGCCACGTGTTTTCCTGCGTACCGGCACACATGTGATTTGCATGTTCAATCCGTCTGCCGATGCGCCGTCAGTTCGCGCTTCTTCGTTCGCTTGTTCATCCCTCCTCCCCCTCATCCTGCTCACCTCCCCCTATCATCCATCCTCACCCAAACCTTCAGGCCAGTTCCTCCTTTTTCCGCCGTCTCTCCCTCTTCCTTCTGTCAAGTGCTGCCCAAAGGGTTTCCTCAACGACGGGAAAAGCACACGTAGTCCAATAGCTTAGACAAAGTTGGGCCCAACGTTGGGCCACACAGGCGGTGGCTCGCCGTTGGCGTCTGCGGGGAATATGTGCTGAAGTACGCCAACACGCACCAATAGTAAATCACTTCGAAACTGACTTGGCGGCAGGAAAGAGCAGCGAGGCAAAACCGCGCACTACATAAGTCGGCCGCTGTCGGCGTGAGATCCCCTGACACCGTTCGCAAGTTTGCCGCCTCCCCGAGGACCAGAATTCGCCAACCCAACGGGCCAAAGGCGCGCTAAGATCTCCGGTAACTACTTAACAATATTTCTAGTTTGCGCGCGCGGGGCGGCCCCTGGGGGGCCCCGGGCGAAAAGTGCCCCGGCCGATCCCCGGCCGGGCCCCAGGCGACCCCCAGGGGGGAGGCTATTTTTCGCCACCCCTCACGAGGATCGTGGCCTCGAGGGGGGAACTGCAATCGACTGCCCCCCCCCCCGCCCCAACGGGCCCCCAAGAGCCCCCAAGAGGCCCCAGGGGAGCCCAATACGCCGCCAAGGAGCCCCAAGACGCCCCCCCAAAACCCCCAAGACGGCCACAAGGCCCCAAATAGCTTTCCAGGGCCGGCGGAATGAGCGAAGCGATTAAATAAGCTCGACTGGAAAACACATGAGGTCTGCACGAACTCAGCCCCCTCAATCTGCGCGCACACGAACTCCTCGTACCAATACCCATTCCTCAGAGCCCTTGCAACCCCTCCTGGGGCCCTCCCCGCGGCCTGCTCATCCCGCCAGCCCGGGGGCCACAGCTGCGGAGTGAGCGTTCCTTGGCCATCATTTTCGCTTCAGAACACACCTCGCTGGACATGTTTTTTCTCAAGGCGCCGCCGGCCTCTCTCAGAGGCCTCCCCGGGAGCTCACTGACTCGATGTTGGAGGCCCCCAGACGCTCTCCTGGGGCGATCTTGGCCGTCCTCCAAGCCATTTTGGCCCGGTCTGGCAGCCCGCCCACCTCTCCTCGGCCCACTTCGATTACAAGAAAACAACACGCAAAAACCTCGTAAACACACATATGAGCATGTCCATTCTGGCCACGTCGAGCCTCTATGCTTGCCTCGTTTCGAGCTCACTTGCGTCTTCGCGGGCTCTTGGAAGTCAGCGGGCGCCCTCTGCGGCTGCCCCCCGCGCCTCCCGACCCCGGCCCGGGCCGGCTGGCAGCATTTTTCGCGCTTTCTTGCCAGTTACCCATATTGGGGCACCTGGCCAGGGATGCCGGCCTCGTATCCAGCTCCACGTGTTAGCTGGGGCCTATAGAAATTAAATCGACTTCTGTCGCCCGTGCGCGCGGGGTTTTCGGGTTGGCCACCGACCCGAGGGATGCCCGTCGTCTGCGCATAATAATCAGGAAACGCGGGTGAATCCAATTGTGGTGCCACAGGCCGCTCGGCAGCCGTCTGATCATAGATCGGATGGCTGAAAAGCGCTGGTATGTACCCATGCCAGTTTGGAGTGTCCGGCGATGGATTGGCATCTGAAACACACTCCCAGGGCGGAAACCAGTCGGCGCTCGGAAGATCTATTCTGCCCCGCCTCGCGCTCTCCATAGCCTCTCGCATCTGCCTTTGCATCCGCTGCTGCTGCCCCAACGGGCCCTCGGTCCCCCGGGCGGCCCCCTGGGCTGTCGTAGCAGGTTGCCCCGCAACAGCACGTGGAGATGCAATGGATGATGTGGCCTGCAAGGCTTGGTAGAGCTGAGGGCCCATCCTAATGCTTTGGAGTCTGGCCTGCAGGCTTTTGTGATCCCAGCGCTCTGCGGCTAGCCAAATGGGGTCGCGGCCCTGCTCGCGGGCGCGAACGCAGCGGGTTGCCCCGCGGGCGCGGGCAGCTGTCGCGCCTGATTACGCCACGGGTCGCTCGCACAAAGCCCGCCGTTCGGCGCAACTCCGCTGGATGTCATGCCGGACGCATCAGCGCCCTGAGCGTGAATCCCTGATCCATCCGCTCCTCCTGCAGGCGCCCCCGCTCGACGCGCCTCTTGCATCGCGGATGTCGAGGCATGCTGCACCTCCGCCGCAGGCGTCGGAGTAGGGGCGCGCAGGTTGCAGGGAGTGCCCGGCACCATCCACCCCTTTAATGCGGAAGCTTCGCATGCGCATTCATGACATTCCCTTGGCGCGTGCTCGGAACTTGGCGGGCCACCCCGCTGAGTGTCGTCAAGATACAATTCGTTGACCCATACTTGCCCAACTCGGTCGCATCTGCACTGGGCAGCGTTAGGATTGATGCCAACAAATCCGAGAGCATCTCTACCAACGCGCGTGGCGGCGCATGCTGTCTCGCACTGTTCCGACCTGTAGCGGCCCGAACCGTCGTCGGAGTGGGCATGCGGCCTGTATGCTGGGTTGACAGTCATCTGTTGAGGGGTGCCCAGGATCTCCCAGCAACGCCCGCTTCAATCGCTTAGTTCAAGGATAGTGGCAGGTTGTCCCGCAGACACAGACGACGGTCCAGCGGGCGCCCCCGCAGGAGCCAATGTCGCAGCTGCTGCTGCGGATGAGCTCGCACTCCCAGATGACTTCTTTTCGCGGATATCAAAGAACTGGCATCCGGCGATCTTCAGGGCAGCCCCTGGCGCCTTGGACGCAGTCTGGGGCGCCGCCTCATCTTCGTCTGGTTGCAAGGAGCGCGCCCTGGATGCGCTCTCCAACGATGGCGCCCAGCCAGCTCCCAATATGGAGCCTGCCGGGAGATGGGCCACGAAGGGTCACAGGTTCCTTCGGCGCGGGCGCGCTGCTGCCCTGGAGCGCCGATGCGCTGCAGCAGCCACTGCTGGCCCCCTGGAGCGCGGTCTGCGGGCAGGTTTCCCCGCAACTGTTTGTGATGTATTAATTCCAGGGCCGGCCGCTGCCGAGCAAGTTCTCTCCTTTTGTTAAGGTGGCGCTGGAGCTGGTGACCTTGGCGCACTTGATGATGGAGATAAATCGATTTTCTTCTCAGACCGCTTCTCCATCTTCTTCTCGGGTCGCCCTGGGGGCTCCGGGGGCCCATCTGCTGCGTCGGCGGGTGCCCCCGCGCTCGCGGATGCAGCAGGTTCCCCCGCGTCTCTGGCTGGGATCTATCTGGAGTAGGATCCCTTCTTGGTCTGTAAAGGGACATGTTCTTGATGTTAGTTTGCCTTTACAATCCAATGTGCATCTTCCATCGAGCACCTCACCCACTGCCTCGGCGCCTATCCGTCCAATTTCTCTGGAATGATGCGACGCTATCGCACCCGGTGCCAAGTTCATGTCCTCCGTCGCTGGATAAGTGGCGCCCAGAGCCGCATTAGCGGACTCGCTGCTGTCAGTCTCGTAGGTGCACTCTGAATCATGAGCAGCAGCAGCAGGGCCAAATGCCTTAACAAAGACAGGAGCGTCGCCCTCTTTGTCGCCCTTCGGACTACCAGCACCTTCGCGCGAGGAAGAAGCGGGTTGACCCGCAGGTGGCGCCGCGGGCATCATCCCATGGCATCCTCGATTGAATCGCCTCAGGCGGCGATCCTCATCGAGGTCCCGCCACTTCATTTTCAGCGAGGGGCTGGTAATCATCTTTGGTCAGCCATGAATTACGAAAACTGCAGGTCGGATCGTCTACGGTCCGACGGTCCGCAAAGGGATCGCAGCTGCAGACCTGGCCTCGGTATTCTTCTCGATCCTTAGTGATGGCCCCTTCTGCGCCCCTTCTGTCAAGCGCAGGGGCCGACCCAGTGCCGCGACCTGCGTTGGCGTGGACGATTTTGCCGCGGGCATCCCGCGTAACCTGGCGGAGCGAATGCCAGCGGCGGATGTCGCGATCGGTGAAACCCCGGCCAAGCCAATGCCGCATGTCTGCTGCTGAGACACATTGGCGGGCAAGCCCATGATCCTCGTAGCTCGCGAGTCGACGCGGGCGCTGGCCCTTGGGCTCACCTGGGCGATCGTCGTTCTAACGCGGGCCCCCGCGCGAGCGCCCCCTTCCGGGCGGAGTTTCTGGAATCCTCTGATCTGGCGCACGCGGACGCCATGCGCCGCTGGAACGGGCGCACGAGCGCCTGCGCGAGTGACTCCGCCCACGACGCTGTGGATGATGGCTCTCAGCTCCCCGCTCTGCGTCGTCGCCATCGGTGCGATATTTTTTTCTCTATATTGGGCGGCTTGCGGGCCGGCCATGCATGGCGAACGCGAAGTGAGAGCCGCCGCCGCGTCCGAACTCATATTTGACGCGCTCGGAAAGGTCACCAGCATCGCGCGGATTGCCTCGCACAGGATCATCGTCGCAAGGTTAACCGTGCGCAGGACTACCAATGACCTGCGGTCGGAGCACCAATTGGAGCTCCTCCTCCGCGGACGGCGCTGTCGCATCAGAATCCGCAGGTGCGCCCGCCACATCGCGATCCGAATCGGCGGGCGCGCGGCAATCCTCGACGAACTCAACATGCGCAGGTTGCCCCGCGATAGGAATGCCCAACCAGTCTGCCCGGTTGATCTCGTCGCGGCCAGCGCAGATTGCCTCGGAGAGCTCATCGGCATACCTCGAGGGACGCGCCGGCGCTCAGATACCTCGCGGCTGCGAAGTGGACAGCGGCAGCGGGGTTGTCTTCGGGCTCGGCGAGAAGCATCACCCTATCGACATACTGAATGTCCGAATCGGTTTGCCCCAAGTGCATCTGCGGGCCCCTGCCCCCCCCATCGCCTCGGGGGCGCTCGCGACGACGTGTTGTGCGCTATGGCAATTGTCGCATTCCATAGTGATCCCATTGGCGTCTTTCGGGTTACCCGAGCGCCCCTTGCCCATTTCTGAGGCGCGCCCCACGGCCTCTACCTGCCCCCAGGAACATTTCTTCGTGCTGCGGCCCCGCAAGGGATGCCAAGAATGCCAACATACCTCTGCCATGGAATCTCCGTCGCTTGCCCTTACCCTGACCTCTACCCTTGCCCTTTGACCGAAACGCCCGTCGGACCGCGCGTCGTACCTTGCGAACTGGTTTCTTCATAAGCGTCTCCATCGGCGTTTGTGTTTCTGGCGTCCTAGGAATCACCGCTGCGCCTGCTGCCCCTCGGTGAGATACACAGGCATGTCGGAGTTGTCCATGGCACGAGCCCCCTCATGCGATGAGGTGTCGGCTTCGGCACAGGAGCCAGATCCGGACTCGGCGGCTTGCCCCGCAGAGCCTACAAGGGTAGTGGCTTGAGCAGGGGCCGCCGTTGCCGGCGGCCCCTGATAGCGAGCCCAGGAGTCTTGCGACCCCGTAGGCTGGCCACCTTGTTGGCTTAGTAAGGTGGTGGCCTCAGTTGATTGTGGATCGTCGTTCCAGACGTTGTTAGCAGACTGCCCTGCGTTAGTCTCGGCATGAAAGGTTTCAAATATACCACCACTGTTGCCACGGGTTCGCTCGCCAATGCGAGCGTAAGACCTCACGCGCTCGAGTGGGGAATCAAGCTGTTGCTGGGCCCTCGGCAACTGGTGGTTTAGTGATTGTAGCAGTTGCTGCGCACGCGATGTACCAACACCCAGAGCTCTAAACAAGATAACGTTTAGGATGTGGAAGTTGGAAACATTCAAGCCTGCGGTCTCGGCCTCAACGCGTACTATCTCAAAACGCGCCAACGTCTGGTCGATCCGCTCTCCCGCCCCCCGCATGGAGGCGAAAGTGGATCAGAGCCGTTCCCGATTTAAGTTGGCGCTCCTCCTCTAGGTTTTCGAACTTCGCGCCGAGGAGGAACATAATGTTGGTGACGCCATCAATGTGGCGACCACCAGTATTTACGCCACAGTTAATGATTGCGGAAGGTACCCTCATGGCTATGGCCCTTGCGAGCCCCCCCGGATCACGCTGCAACGCCGCGGCCAGTTGAGAGGGGGTCACGTTGCCGGGAGCCACGTTGATTCAAGCGTGCACTTCGCGAATAAATTCGCGTAAGGGCACGTTACCGGCAGGGTCCCAATGGGGGCCGGTAGTACGTGCGTCGTCTCCGCCACGCTGCAAGTGCCCAACAGCACATCCGATAGCGACCCATAGGAGGCCGAATATGGCAATGCCAATCCAATGGCCCCTTAGGTCGTGGTCGGATGTTTGTAGCTGTGGGTTATGATGTGACGTCGTTCGCCTGCGTGGGGGCGGAGGCGGCACAATATCGCATCGCATGTTTCCATGCCTCGTGTCTTCAAAAACTTTTCAATTTGAGTAGGAAATGGTTTTCGGGAGTGTACTAGCGCAGAGGTAAGATTCATATAAGAAGCCTCCGCGTGAACGGATGTAGCACTGCATGTGTCCTTGCGGTTTTGCGTACATATGTACATTCCTCCGCGCAAACCCACTGCACCCTGATGTTCCACCATGTCAATAGTCCACCAGATAGTGCCGTGGTGGAAAGTGAGGAGTAGAGCTAGAGCTGACCATCATAGGCCAACTCCGCTACCAAGTTTGACTGGCGTTGGGAGGCCCAACAATACGCTACGCCTAAGGCGAAGCCCATATCCAACTCTGTTGTACCGTAGTATAACAAGACCCAAAAATAGGATATCGTCGCGGGAGCAACGGGCCATGTCAAGCGAATATGTTTTCGGTCTCAATGGCAAGTAGTGTGCCTCGCGATGAGGCGCAGTCATATATTGGCGACCGGCCGCTTGAGCACAAACGGCCGCGGACAAACGCTCGCTATCTCTCGCCTTTGCCTCAAACTCCTTTAGAGTGCTATTTGCGCTTGAGGGCCATCTGTCCACAAATACCGTCTCCACCGTGGCGCCAGCAGCCGTTGGTGTGTGTGTGTGTAAGCGTGTGCATGTCTGTGTGTGTGTGTGTGTGTCGAGCCCTTGCGTGTGGTCGCCACCATCGCTTCTTGCAGGGTAACAATCTGGCTCCCCTGGCGCATCCAGCACAACATGCGCTCATTCCGTTGACCACGTCCCTGCGTTTTGTTTTTCCCGAATTAAAAAAATAATACAAAGTTGTGGGAGGAACGGTCCGTGGCCCCTCCACTTGCGGGCGCGCCTGGCCCCCCGACCCCATGGCGACACAAAGACGGCATCCAAGAAGGCCAGGATGGCCTCAAGAGCGGTCCAAGATACCCTCCAAAACGACCGCTGTAGTTAGCACCAAAACAGTTCAAAATGCCCCCAAGACGCCCAAGCGGGTCTCTCCGAAAGCCCGAAATTGCCAAAGTCGCATCTTTCCCATACATGTTTGAAAAATCGACGCGTTCGCGCCTTTTCGGGCTTCCGACAAACCAAGACGGCCCACGAATAGCCCAAAACGCTCCCCGATAATGCCTCAAGGAGGGGCCCAAGGCGGCCCAAGAGACCTGCAATACGGCGCTAAAGTGCCGCAAGAGAGCCCCAAGATGGCCCAGGGAGACCCTGGAGACGGCCTCTGGAGGCACCAGAAGGCCAAGAGCGCCCCAGGACGACCAAAGAGACCCCCCAAAGGGCCCGAGAGGTTCCCAAGAGACCCGCCAGCAGCTTCCAGGAGCCCCTCCCTCAGCCGCCTACGAGGTGCAACGCAATTCAACGACCCGCGCAACCTGCATTTCGCAGTTCCCTCGCACCCCAGCATCCTTGAACGCGAAAACTATGCGAAAAAACGAAAACTGCGACCTGCGCACCGACTACACAAGGACCCAGGATGAAAATCTAGTCCTGGAGACAAGCCGGGTCGTTGGAGGTATGGGTCATCTTGCTGTTGCCGAGGCGGCCCAAGAGACCCTATACCCGACAACCTCGGCACGACTCAAACAAGCCCTCAGGAAAACAACAAGACGACGCGAAGACGGCCCAAGACAACCACCAGACCAACCGAATGCGACAAGCGCCCCAACAACGACCTAAGACACCCCAGAAGCGCCCCAGAATGGTTCGACAGAGCGCAAGGCCCCAAGAACCCAAGAAATACCGACAATAGCCTCTAGACAACACGAAGCGGCCACGGGACAACGTCAGAGCTTACCCGAAATGGGCCGACCTGCCGCAGGAGACTGCAAGCCAACTCCATGCAACGCCACGCCCACAATTCGTTGCGCTCTCGCAAGGCTCCTGCCCGAAGCGCGGTGTCGCATATGCCCGGTAGCGCAATAGGATCCTTTTTATTTATGTGTATGTATTATGTGTATTTATAGATATCTCCAGAGTGAGGGGGGCGAACAACCATTCACTGCCCCTGGGTGCGTGGCTAAAATTAGATTCCGCGATGCGGATAATTGTTGTTGTTTGCTGCTGTTTGGCGCCGCGGCCCGGCCCGCGACCCACCCGCGACCCACCCGCGACCCACCCGCGACCCACCCGCGACCCGGCCCGAAACCCACCCGCGACCCAACCGCGACCCACCCGCCACCCACCCGCCACCAACCCGCGACCCACCCGCGACCCACCCCGCGACCCACCCACATTACTTCAACGAAGTCGGCGACTGCGGCGGGCTCGTTCTACAATTTGTTAAAAATGTGGCGCCTGCGGCGGGCTTCTTCACAGCCTCGCTGACTGCAGACGTCCCCGCCGCCCCCTCACTCTTATCTGCGACTGCAGGGTGCTACGTATCAATTCAGAGGATCCGCACATCATCCAGACTAGGCTAGAACTGACCAGAACAATAGAAGAGGCGTTACTCGCTGAGCGATGGTCTGCTCACGCATCCGCGCGCAGGAAACTGCACTCCTGTTCGTACTCCTGTCCAGAGATCGTCGTCTCTGCTGCAGTGCGGCGCAGCTGGTGCAGCCGATTACGCGACCTCGGGCGCGGTCTCCATTGACACTGGATAAAATGAGGAGCCGAGCAGTGAGGTCAACCGTACAAGCCGAAAAAGAGAGAGAGAGAGAGAGAGAGTGAGAGAGAGAGAGAAACAACAAAAAAGTTAGAGAATGAGAAACGCGAACGACAAGGATGGAAGGGACAGGGGACGAGGATGAAACGAAAAAGGACAAGTGCACGGGCAAGAAAAACGGGCAATCGGGCAGGAAACGGGCTACACACAACAGCTGCGATACTGTGCCCGCTCACGTGTGGGACCAGCAGGCTGCAAGGAACAGGTTTCCTATCGAATAGCATGTGTAGATTAACGTTTTCTGCAAATTGATCACACCGGGGATTAGACGCCACAAGAGGCCCCCATAGAACCCGAGAAGCACCTAGATGACCCCGAGATTGCGCCAAGATGGCCAAACAAGGCCCTCGATGGCCCCGAAATAGCCCCAAATCGGGAATGCTCACGTTATAATTGCCCAAGTGCATCGACTGGGACACGGCATGCCATTATGCATCGACGTTGTACCTGTCAATGATATACGTAGCGTCGGTTTCACTCGCCCTGAGATTGTGTTCTTGCCACACATTCGCATTCGTGGCATCACCTCTGAGGTAAAAGAAACACATCCGCCATTCATCTCGGGCTGGGCGGTCGAAAACCAAGATTTGCCTGCAGTGCGAACGAAAATTCCGAGTGGCAATCAAAGTTGCCGTCCTCGGTAATATCTCCCCCGATCAGATGGTATTGCGAGCGACGTCGAAGCCCAAGCCCAGACCAAGACCTGACGCCGAACATCCGCTGGCAGTTCGGCGACTGAACAACGACCCCGGTCCGTCAAGTATATCCCAGATTTTGTTTTGAACGTGTTCTTTTTCTCGCACTCTTCGAATGTACTTTTTGTCTTGGCCAGCTTGTCCGATGCTCGGTCTCTGGCCTTCCTCTTCCTAGCTGCGTTTGTTCGAAGCCTGGCGACCCGTGCTTCCGGGCTAACTTTAGCAACTCGGCTTTGCTCATATCGGAGAATCTCGGGCAGTTCGACTGCTGGGCGAGAACAACCGCGAGCGCAGATGGAGCCGAGGCTGGCGCGAGGTCAATCCTCGCAACGGGCTGTCGCGCCGTGTGTTCGCGAATCCGTTGGCCAACCAATGCTCTTCCTATGCAGTTCTCTGGCAAGCCCAACACTTAATGAATGAACGTTGGTAGAACATGCAAGTCGTGTCATTGAAGAAAGCACGTGCCCCATTATTCTCTGAGATTCATTTACCACCCCTGGCCAAAACAAACCACACGCCCATGTCGGAACCGAAAGACTGGATGAACTTCAAACCATCTGGACAAATGCATGAACATCTCTGTTGAAAGTTGTCAGCGCGGAAACATTTGTTTTCCGTTCAAAGAACGACAGCGAAAACGCAACCTCCCCCATGTGACCCAATACGGCTACGGAAAACACAAACATGCAGGTGGCTCCATGCGAATTTAGCGGCTGGTGGCCAGAGACGGGCGGACGTTTGAACACCGTCCCAAAAAAAAATGGGGCGCGAAAGTGTGTACCAGGCTAACGAAAAGTGTCGATTGTCTTACAGCGATGGGTTGAAAAATGCCATGCTTATATTACCGCTACATAGAAAACGCGACTAGCTACTATACGGCCCGTCGAAAACTTGCGCGTCCCCTACACCGTGGGGGCGGACAAACAGCTTTCAGAAGTGCACGGCCCAGTGCCCAGCGAAAAAAACAGAGGACACCCACAGACCACCGACGACCATCCCCAGGTGTGTCTGCAAACTGCACAGCCCAAATCGCGAATGGGTCGGTACCCAAAAAATGCGAATATCTTCTAGCTCGCGCGTCGGACGCTGGGGTGTGGAAGTCAGAGTGCCGAGTTGGTGGAGGCCCATAGTCGACAGGTAGAGGTCGGAGTGGAACACAGCGCGCTGGTGGCTGGGAGCCAGAGGGCTGAGTGGTGGAAAGGATCAAGCGTGGACGTCGGCGACAGAGCAGGCGTCAAAAGAGAAGTTGGAGTTGGAGCAGGAGTGACGCAGAGGGACCTGTCTTCTCCTCCTCCTCCCACGCCGCCGTCCGCCAGTGAAGCTCACGGCCGAGCTCCGTCAGGCGATACAGCGGCCGCGAGTACAAGCTCGCTACAGGCGGGCCCTCCAGCTTGCGGTCCTTACAGGAGGACTGCTCACGTGCTGTCAGGCCGGCAGACAGGACGGGCAAGGATGAGGGGGGTCTCCCTGCCCGCTCATTACTATTTTTGCTGGCCTCACATAGTGCTGAGGCTCGCTTGCAGGCTGACCATGAGCCTTCATCCGATCCGATCCGAAACGATCCGATCCGCTCCCCACCGCCTCTCCTCAGGTACGCTCCCCGCGAGCTGGGAAGCGGAGGAAGAGAAACAAATATACCGATACCGCCACTCGCTGGACGTCTCCCAGGGTGCGTTCCCACCAGAACTCGGAGGTCAATCCGACCGTGGCGACCAGGGTCCCCCAGGAAGACCCAACGGGCAAAAACGGAAGTAAGGTAGCGGCATCGGTCTCCCCTTCTACTCTGATCCCCCACACCCCCATCCGCTCTCCCCGAGGCTGGGCAGCAGGCTTAAGGTCCACCGTGAGCTCCGCGTCGTCTGGGTCTAGCCAGGCGGCAGCCGCGCCCTGGCCGCGAGCCTAGGGGGGGCCCCCGGCCGCGCGCGCGCGCTGGCGCCCAGGCCTGGAGCGACCCAGCTGGCTCCGTAAAGGACCTCACTGGCGAAGAGAAGTCAGCCGGGGGAGCGGGAATGAAGGCGAGGCCAGGACGAGGACACATTTGGGTGAGGATAAATCGGGAATCTCTGAGATCCGGCGGCTCTGGAGGATGTCTCGGGCGCCGCGGCCTTCTCGGAGCGTTCTGGAACGCTCTGAGAGCGTTCTGGAACGCCCTGGAACGGATTTCTCCTCGTCCTAGCCCCGTCCGAGAATGGCCCAGACATGCGACGCCTTCAACAGAACAAGGCGACGGTGTTTACCGCATTCGGCCTCCGGGGGCCCTCCAAGGACCCCGGGGCACTCAAACAACTACCGGGGACACTCAAAACTGGCCCTGGTGAGGGGGTCTGAACCTCTGGGGGGCCCGTAGTGGAAAGACATCGGGCATTCGCGGGGGAATGCGGAGGGGACACAGACAGGAAGCAGGACGGAGGAGTGAAGAGGAAAGAGGGAGTCGGAGGCGGAAAGGGAGAAGAGGGAGGACTGAAGGAGGAGGAAGGGAGACGAGGAGGAGGGAAGGGAGAAGGGTAGGGAGAAGAGGAAAAGGGAAGGGTGAAGACGAGGAGGGAAGAAGGAGGAGGGAAGCGAAGGGAGGAGGGAGGACTGGGGAAGGAGAGGAGGAGATGAGGACTCGTGGAAGGAGGGATCTCCCCTGCCAGCTACTCTCTCTCCCCTGTTCCAGCGTACCAGCGTGCTGCTGCCTCTCTCGCCGCTTGCTCACCTACAGAACTGGGATGCGCAAAGGATGCGTCATAGGTTTACTCATTATCAGGACATATCCTTGGTGGGACGATGTGTCATTTGTTATGTTCAGGACATGTTCAGACCAATACCTGATGTTCGGAACACGATATGTTATATACATGTAGATCTATATATGTATATATCCTGATTTCCAGTCGGAGCTTAATGGGACCTTTCCAACATGGCGTTCCCGCAGCACCGCTGGCCTCGTTTTGAAATCGGTGCCTGGCTCCCGTCGTTCAGAATGGCGCCCTCGCCTTGTTGCAGGCCGCGTTTCTGGATCCGATTCGTTCCTCACCGTTGACGCCCCCCTCGTCTCTCCTTCTCCTCCTGCTCCTGATCCTCCTCCAGCTCCTGATCCTCCTCCTGCTCATGACCTTCATCCTCCTCCTCCTCCTGCTCCTCCTCCTCCTCCTCCTCCTCCTCCTCCTCCTCCTCCTCCTCCTCCTCCTCTCCTCATCCTCCTCTTCCCTGGTCCTCCTCCCCATCCTCCACCAACTACTCATCCGCCTCTTGCTCCCCATCCTCGTCTGTGAAAAGAAGCTCCACCTCTACGATGACACGGCAACTAATTGGCAACATTCCTGCAACTGCCAATTGAGCATCAAAATCCTCAAAGACACCCCCGTCGGCGGTAAGAAAATCATGGGGGGAAGGGATGGGTGGGAAGGAGAGGATGTCAGATGTGGAGCGAACGCGCTCAGCTTGCCTCATCCTCTCTCCTCCTCCTCCTCCTCCTCCTCCTCCTCCTCCTCACCACCACCACCATTGTCATCATCATCATCATCATCATCATCATCATCATCATCATCACCACCACCACCACCACCATCAGCAGCAGCAGCAGCAGCATCAGCATCAGCATCATCATCAGCAGCATCAGCATCATTGTCATCAGTATCACCATCATCATCAAAAGCATCGTCATCAGCATCATCATCAGCAGCAGCATAATCATAATCAACATCATCATCAACATAATATCATCATCAGCATCATCACTTGCAGCAACATCATCATCATCATCATTATCAGCATCATAGTCGACATCATCATAATCATGATCAGCATCATCATCATCTGCATCTGCATCTGCATCATCATCATCATCATCGCCATCACCCTCATCATCATCATCACCCTCCTCATCATCATCATCAGCAGCATCATCAGCATCATCATCATCGGCATCATCATCATCATCATCATCATCAGTAGCATCATCTGCATCAACATCGTCATCATCAGCAGCAGCATCATCCTCATCCCATCGTCATCGTCATCGTCATCATCATCATCATCATCATCATCATCAGCAGCAGCATCATCAGCATCATCAGCATCATCATCAGCATCAGCATCGTCATCGTCAGCGTCAGCGTCAGCGTCAGCATCAGCATCAGCATAAGCACCAGCATCAGCATCATCATCATCAGTATCATCATCGTCGTCATCAGCAGCATAAACATCATGATTTTCATCAGCAGCAGCAGCAGTAGCATTAGCAGCATTATCATCATCGTCAGCTAGTTTCATCATCATCCTCATCACAATCATCAGCATCATCATCACCATCGTCATCGTAATCATCATCGTCATCATCATCATCATCATCCCCACCATCACCATCATCAGCAGCATCACCATCACCTTCACCATCACCGTCATCATCAGCATCATCATCGTCGTCATCGTCGTCATCGCCATCGCCATCGCCATCGCAATCGTCATCCTCCCCCTCCTCCTCCTCCTCCTCCTCCTCCTCCTCCTCAGACCATGTTCCACCCGAGGGCTGTGCGCGGGTGTCAGGGTGTTCCAGTGGGCCAAACTTGACACTGGCGATGGCCCGGCCCCGGGAGCCTTGCGCACGTGTCGTCTCTGGAGGCCAACGGCCGTGCGAGCCGTCGAGAAGGTGGGCCACCCACTCCCCTTTTTCACTCTCCTTGCCCTTCTCTTTCTCCACCCGATGCCCAGCAGAGGATCGCGGACAGTGTGCAAAGAGACGCTGGTGATCCACATCATCAGCTGCAGCGCTGGGACCAGCGCAACCGTGCTAAAACAAATCAGCTACAGCACTGGGATCCACTCGTGCGGGACGGGCGGCAATGAGCAGCCAAGATCAGCAAACAACGCTGTGAGTCGTACGTGCGAGAAGAAACTGGAGGCGAATCTCGAGTTCTAGGCAAGCAGTGGGCAACATGTCAGGTACAACGCTGCGAGTTACTAATGCGAGAAAGGCGGCAATGAACGAAGGATCAGCTACAACGCTGGGAACAGCTCATGCTAAGAAGGAGCTGTGGGCGGCAGCTCGACCTCCACAGCCCGCGCGTGCTGACGTCATAAGCCACAGGGCTGGGAGCAGGTCGTGCGTGCGAGAAGGTCGAGCAGTGGCAGCAACCTCTGTCGCTACTCAGCGTGGCAGGACGTGGACGACATATCAGCAGCAACGTTGGGAGTAGTCCAAGCGAGAAGGCAGGCAGTGGGCGACATATCAGCTACAGCGCCGAGAGTCGCTCACGCGAGAGGGCAAGCAGTGGGCGACATATCAGCTACAGAACTGGGTGTAGCTCACACGAGAGGGCAGGCAGTGAACGACCCATCAGCTACAAGGCTGGGAGTAGTTCGTGCGAGAAGGCAAATTGCGAGCGACAATTCAGCTACACCGCTGCGAGTGGCTCACGCGAGAAAACAGGCACAGTTTTGACGGTCGGAGTAGTTCATTGGCGTAGGAAGGCAGTGAGCGACAGATTAGCCTCATTGCTGGAAGTAGTTCGTTTGTGAAAGCGGCCGTGAATAACACATGATCTACAACGCTGGGAGGAGTCAGTGCGCGGAGGAAGGCAGCGGCAGTGCACGCGGTCATTGCAAGAAATGTGGGGAAGGGCAGGGCGCGAAGCCGACCCAGGCCCGGCCCACGAAGCCTGCCGCAAGGCGGGGACCAGGGCGGAGGAAGGCGTAGCAGTGCCAGGCCCGTCCCATGACCCCCTTACGAGGGGACCAGGGTGAAGAGGGCGAAGCTGGAGCCAATGCTGTCACAGCTGCAGAATGCGGGGTAGACAGTCACAGTCACAACTGCCGTCGCCCCAAGCGGCGGCGCCGTCACGGCGGGCAGGCGCGCAAGGCACGCTGGCCCTCGAACGGGGACCTGCCGTTCACAGCGTGGGAAAAGAGCGATGCATGAACATTGTGTGAAACAAAGACATGCAAGATCTAACGCCAAGAGATAGTGACGAAATCCTGAGATAGGTGCTGCCACGAATCGTGATTGCGTGCGGCTTCTTGCAAGGAGGGCAAACCTTGGAATTCCGCAAAACGGCGAAGGCCATCCTCCCATCTAGAAAAACGGCCTGGTCTACTCCTCAAGGGCCTCGTTCGCGATGTCTGGGTCTGGTCGCGCCACCAGGCACTGTCCCTCCATAGTGTAGTCCTCTTGGCCCCTCGCGACTGCTCCATGTTTACCAGTCGGCCGGCCTAGGACCTGTTATATAACAATTGCTTCTGGAGCCAACTTTCAACAGTTGCCTGTCTGGCGGATGTTTCTGCCACGCGAATAGCCCATTGTAATCAATGAACGTACTCCTCTTCTGGGTGCCTTCCAGGGCCAACAATACGCCCGAGCATGGCCCTCTGAAAACTGCGACGCTTCCGCTTGGAAGCAACCGTGAATTTCCATGACTCGCGACACCACAAGACTGGTTTGGCCACTGTTGCGTCGACGAGTTTGAGTCTGCGGAGTTGGTGAGCTTCCTGTCTTTGTAGAACACCATTCAACGGTTGAAATTTCTTCCACGCCATTCTCGAACGATTAGCGAATTCTTCGTTGGTTTTATCGTTCATAGTAATCGTAGTGACCAGCACTTTGAAACCCACGTAACAATCAACCAATGAAACATGTGAGATCCCCAGCTTTGAATATTTTTCCAGAGCTCTGCCCTTCCACCGCATTGCACGCTGCATTTGTCTGCGTTCATTCTTGAATCAGTATTCCCAATTTCCTCGTTGATCGAATTGAGCCTTAAGACAAGAGTTTGTCTATGTTTGACAATCAGGGCTGTATCGTCAGCAAACATACCGTACGTCATGCGGGGTAGACAGATGGAGCCAAACATTCGCAGCTACTGTTTCGATAGGCCATTCAGGGCTACACCTGATGAGGCAGCCCCTGTCGCCAAGGATCG